AAAAAAAAAAAAAAAAAAAAAAGTGTGCATTATAGATATCAATAGAATATACTAAAAATGACTTAAATGCCTAATTCTAAGGTAAACATTAAACTAATTTTGGTGGAATATTAGCATGTCTTAAAGATGTTAATGAAGATTGTCTTCTCACCCCACACTTTTATTGAAAGATTGCATTTACTTATTTTTATTTATTCATTTTAAAATTTTTTAAATTTGTTCTTTTTAGTTATACATGATAGTAGAATATATTTTGACATATTATATATACATGGAGTATAACTTCCCGTTCTTGTGGTTGTACATGATGTGGAGTTACACTGATTGTATATTCACATGTGAACATAGGAAAGTTATGTCTGATTCATTCTACTGCCTTTCCTATTCCCATCTCCCTCCCTTCCCTTTATTCCCCTTTGTCTAATCCAAAGTATTTCTGACTTTCCTTCCCCCTTCATTATTGTGTGTTAGCATCTGTGTATGGGAGAGAATATTTGGTCTTTAGTTTTTTGGGAATTTCTTATTTCACTTAGCATGATAGTCTCCAGTTCCATCCATTTACTGGCAAATGCCATAATTTAATTTCTCTTTGTGGCTGAGTATTCCATTGTGTATGTATACCACACTTTCTTTGTCCATCCATTGAAGGGCATCTAGGCTGGTTTCATGGCTTAGCTATTGTGAACTGAGCTGCTATAAACATTGATGTGGCTGTATCACTATACTGTGTTGATTTTAAGTCCTTTGGGTATAAACTAAGGAGTGGGATAACTGGGTCAAAATGATAGTTGCATTTAAATAATATGAATAGCAGAAAATCAGAAAAGGGTAAAAGATGAAAAGTTTCACTATCTATAACAACCCATGGAAAAAGTGAACATTTTTGATTTCTTGTGTATCTTTTTAGAACTTTAGTTCACATACAGGTAAATAGGTGGTGTTGTTTTTGAAAATGGAAAATTATTCATTCTGTTCTGTACTTTTTTCCTACTTCATACATCTTGGAAATTGTTTCACATTTATATGGTAAGAAGCTTCCTTCATTTTTTGGTCACTATTTTGCT